ATATAATTTTTATATTATTTATATTTTCAAATAATATTGATATAATGCCATAGATTTTTTTTATGTAGGTTATTATCATGGATTAAAGCAAGCAAAAATTAATCAGCAGAAAAGAAGAAATTGTCAGTAGCCGTATAAGAATAATTATTTTTCCATAATATACATATTTTTACATTTTAGTTTAGATATTGTGTTAATAAATAAACTTTTTATTAATAAAATCTTTCAGACTTATTTTGCAGAATATTTTATTAGATTATGAAAAATTAATAAAACATTTGTGAAAAAAAAATAAATATATATATGTGTGTGTATATGTTATGTATGTACATATATTCTATTTGTAAAATTTGTATTATTTTCTCTATATGTTTCACAAATATACATGTATATCTGTATACTTACGTATATTTTATATTTTAATTTACAATTAAAATGTGTATATCATTAAAATTTATATAAACAACTAATACGAATTTTACAAATATTTTAAACATGTTTACGAAATATCACTATTTTGTAGAAAAAAAAATTACATTATCTCATAGATGTACATATTTGTGTTACAATTATTTGTCAGAACAGCTACTCTATTATTTTTTTTTCTTATTTTGAGAAACCAAATTCCTCATGCCATTCCGTATATTGTGCGTTCATATGTTTGGTAATGGGTTTTACTTTGGTTTTAGCAAGCGCAATATGATTAATTGCACTAATTAGACTATCATTTTGAATATTATTCATCGAGATTGTTTTAGCTTCGAGACTCGCCCAAATGGGTCGCAATTGACTGATCCATGCCTCTTTGCACAGCAGTTTTAAATCTGCGCAAGAATATCCTTCAGTTTCTTTCGCAAGTTTGAGTATCTCCGGCGAATTATACAGATCCTCACGCACATAAGACTGCAATATTTCTAATCGACTAGTTTCGTCGGGTAAATCCACAAAAATCCTTTTTTCTAAACGTCGCAACAAGGCAATGTCTATATTCCTAAAAGATAAAAAATGAGTTTAGAGAGATTAACTAGAATAAATAAGATTATACGCTTATATGAATAAATGAATAAATACGTGTGTGTTTACCATGGAACATTTGTAGCTGCTAATAATACTACATTTGTGTACTCCATTGACAATAAACCGTCCAATCTAGCGAGAAGTTCAGCTCGAAATCTTCTAGCAGGTTCTGAATTCGATGAATGATCTATATTTTTTGTGGTCGTCCAATCGATTTCATCGATAAAGATTATCGTTGGTGCATAATGTTTAGCAAGATCGGTGAGTACCTACATATATAATATATTTATACTAATCTTTTTTTTCCATTTTGTTTTGGTATATTCAAACTTGTCAATATATAAGAAATCAATTTGTAATTCGTAAGAATATATGAGTCCTGATGATCCTGTGAGTAATTTTATTTTTCATAATTTTATTTTTTACAGTTTTGTTCTATTCGTGTGGGCTAATTATTGTATTACGTCTAAGTGTTGTAACTTTTTATATAATTGAAAGTTTTAAAACTTTCATCTGTATAACAATATTTAACAATACCAAAACTCCACAGAAAATTCTTTTTTAAATGTGTGCTTCATGTGTGTTACGGTTAATAATAACAATGTAGATTATTATTTTATGTTCATAATAACTTGTATCGAGAATGAAAAAAAAGTATCTAATAGATATATATAATTTTGATTACAAAGACAGTACTAAAATTTTATTAATTGTACTATTATTTCTTTACCGATTTCTTTTACCTTTTCATCTTTTTTCTTAAACTTTAAAATTTAAAATTTAGATGAATATAGAAAATAGTATTATAGATGTCTAGAATTATGATTGTTCATCATTGTCGATTGTGGAAATAGATCGATATTTCGAAATGAATCGTACATTATTCGACTTACGCGAATGTATTTTTCTGAATCTCCTCTCCATTTGCTGATAACTGAACTAGAAGTGATATTAAAGAAAGTCGATTGACATTCGGTTGCGACTGCTTTCGCAAGCATCGTCTTACCTATTCGAGAGTGTTTTTTTATCAATTTATCAATGGGTATTATATAATTTTCATATAATTACATACCAGTTCCTGGTGGACCGTATAATAATATGCCTTTGCAAAAACCGAATCTTTTATTAAACAAGCTTGGATATTTCATGGGATAAAGTATGGCTTCTTTTAATAACATTTTGCAATCTTTCAATCCCTTTACGTCATCCCAATGAACATTCAAGTTTTGCTGCACTATTTCCTAGAAATTATTACTTATGTATATAATATTATTGTATTTAGATTCCATTTTATTTGTTTTCTTGCCGTATGGCAAGACATACATGGATAATAATTATACTTATAATGACTTTCCTTTTAATGATTTGGATTTGTTAATGTAATTGTAACGAAAGCTTATACTTTATTAGAGAGAAAGTAAACATAATTTCTGCTCAAAAATAGTATAGTATGTATCACATATTTTTTGTTTCTTACCCGTGACATAACATCTGCAATCTCTTTTAGTTCAGAACTAAATGGATAGAGATTACCGATAGGTTTCAGTAGTCTCTCGTTATTGATGAAAGTTTCGTCGAACATTGGCACTTGTATAGCGACTCGATCGCCACTCTCCGCGGGAAAAATCGGCGTAACCGTCATACCAAGATTCAATTCATTCCATGTGGAAGTGGTATGTTTTTGTGCGACTTTATTTTTGCCAATATTGTTACATTCCTCAGTAACGCGATCCTCTTGCTTTGAATAGATCTTCGAAATTCTTTCTGCTCTTTTGTTGCTGTTACGAAAGTAGACATAATAAAGTAGCTTCGATTTTATCCAATTTATCGAGTTTATCGCAAAGAAATTGACGTCTTTCATAACTTGGGAAATACAAGTAAAGCCAATTAAATTATCAATAATTCGTTGATAAAATTTTATATTGGATTATGTTGCAAAATGTTATTTAATGATATTATTTGTAAGAGGAGCATATCTTTGAATACAAATATAAATACATCAATCGCGTATACACACACACACGCGCGCGCGTGCGCACGCACACACACATACATACAGGATGTCCCGAAAGTTTTTGCCAATCGCTTTTATGTAGATAGAGCGGACTAAACTGAGTTGAAAAGTTCTCTACCATTTTGCAATTTTCGCAATAGTTAACAAGATATTAATTACTAAAAATTGATAAATGTTGGTCATGAATAATTTTTACTCAAATACCATCAACTTTACAGAAAAATTGTAAGAAAAAAATTATTTATTTTCTTTTCATAGAACTCTAAGAATTTTTTCACAACTTTTTAGTATTGCATTTTTTTATTTTTACCAAGAAAATTCGGTATTAAAAAATTCTGAAAAAATTCTGAAAAAATTCTTGGAATTTTATGGGAAAAAAAAAATGATTTTTGTCTCTTGCAGCTTTTCTATAAAGTTGATAGTATTTGAAATAAATAATTATTCAAGACCAATATTTGACAATTTTTAGTAATTAATATCTTGTTATTGTAAAAATTGCAAAATAATAGAGGATTTTTCGATTCAGTTTAGTTCGCTCTATCTACACAAAAGCGTTGGCAAAAACTGTCGGGACATGTATATATATATATATATATATA